TTCCCCCTCAGCCCAGCCCTCCCGGCCTTCTCCGGGCATCCGCATCACGGGCACAGCCAGGGAACCTACGTGCAGGCGTGCTCAGCTGTGTCCGTCTCTGTGCAACTCCATGGGCTGTAGCCCAGCAAACTCTTCTGTCCATGGGATTTCCCAGGCGAGAGTATTGGAGTGGGCGGCCACTTTCTTCTCCAGAGGGATCTTCTCAACCCAGGGATTGAACCTGCGCCTCCTGCCACTGGCAATCACTGGCAGGCGATTCTTTACCGCTGAGCCGCCTGGGCACAGGGCCCAGTTTAAAGAAGAGACAGAAAGCCATCGAAGGCTCGCGGCTGAGCCGAGGGCCTCAGCACGTGCTAGCCGTGCGCTGGTGGGTGCGCAGAGTTAGCGTTTTCTCCCTAAGGACACCTGCTTTCCGCCTTCCACATTTAATGCAGGGTCATTATGACCCCAGTAGCACTCTCAACACACAGAGTTCTGAGGAGGTTCCGCGCGGCAGAAATGCACGCAGCACACGCCTGCACTGCCCACACCAGCGCGGCCTCCCCCTCCCGGCTCCTCAGAGGTCCCCTGCACTGTGCCCGAGCCCCGGCCAGGCACCCCGGGCAGCAACACTGACTGCTTCTAAAATGCAGCCTCATTTCCTCTTTGTCGAGGCTTTAGGGGTGTGCTGTATTCCCATTTTACAGAGGAGAAAATAAGGTTCAGTTCAGTTCACTCAGCCAGAGAAGGGCAGAGCATACATAAACCTGGTTGACCTGAGCTCCCAACGTTCCTTCAGGCCTGGCTCACCACAGTCAAGTTTAACAAAACCTATGCCTTCCAAAGGGCTATATGTTCCGGTCACAGCAGCCTGACTGTCATGATGCTGGTTTAGAGAGACTGCAGCTAACATCCGTCTCTGACAGCCTTCTGCCTCCCCTTTCATTTCTGCTCCCTGCAGGAAAGTCCACATCTCAGTGAGACAGGACCCCTCCGCTGAGCTGTGTCTCAGTGACACCGTAATCCTTCCAGGCAGGTGTGGGAAGGTGCCTGCTTTGCCTCCAGTATGGACATTTCTGGATTGCTCCCATCCAGCATCCTACCAACTACATATTTCAGACATTTATAGTCAGGGAATCAGTGAAATTTTATAATCTTGATGATCTTGACTCTATCTGAAAAGATCTATGATGTACTTTTTCAAGCACTCAAAACTTTGCTGCTGCTGCCAAAATATTTCAATGATGTTTGGAGCTTGAAAGAGCCCGGGGTATGGGAGAGCCTGAAGAAAAGAAACAGGTATAGACAAGGCATTACTGACATTTCGGGCTGGACAATTCTTTGTCGTGGGGGCTGTTCTGCACACTATAGAATATTTAGCAACTTCCCTGGCTTCCAATCACTATGTCTCAACAGACTCCTTCCGAGTTCTGACACCACAAAGACGCTGTCAAACATCCCCTGGGGGAGCACCACAGGCCCTGGATACGAACTGTTGGTTCAGCCTGATCCTGCAAGGCTGGTCGGGACAAACTGCCTCTGAAGGTACCACCTTCTTTGCCTCCTTGTTGGAAGCATGAGTTCTTTTTCTCAATACCACACCCTTGGGAATTGTATATCACAGAGCTGATGCCACCAGGCTTGGGGAGTGGGGTGGGGTGGGGTGGGGAGAAGGAGCAGGTGGAATAGAAGAAGCAAGAAAAGACAATGGAAAAGCTTTTAGAAATAAGAAAGGTTTATTTAGCAAAAGCCACTAGACTAGTGACAACATCCAGGCAGTAAGTGCACTTACATGAACAGAATCTTTTCCCAGAGAGTTGATCCAACAGAGTTAATGCCACACAGTTTTAGGAAGTAGAAGGCTCAGGAAGAGGGAGAGAAATTGGGTGAGGGGTGAGGGGTAGCAGAAAGCAGTCAGGCAAAGAGAAAATAAAAAGGAATACAACCCCTAAACGAGAGCAGTTGAGAGAAGTGAGGCTATGAAGAGGCTTTATAGACAGCATTGGTATCAGCAGGAATATAAGGAATATAATTTTCAGTTCCAATAGAGAGTCCATCCTGTGCAGAGCAATTCTTCCCTGGCTCCACACCTGTGAGAGCCTAGGGTGCCCAAGAGTCTGCTGGCACCCGGGAGAGGCTGGGGCAGGAACTGTAAGGGAGGTGCCCCTGGTGTCCACTCGTCCTCCACACAGGGCACAGTAGAAGGATGAAAGAGAGGAGGGCAGGAGCTGAGTTAGCAGAGCAAGAAGCAAGCGGGAGGGGACAGGGTGACGTCGCCTGGAGGCTGGGGTCCGCAATGCTCCCTTTCCTGCCCAGTGGCTGGTGACCTGTGAAGGCCCCTAGATCTGTCCTTTGTCTCCTCCATCTCCACACACCCAGTGCACGCTGGCTGGGTCACACTAAGGATGATGCCAACATGCACTCCAGTGCTCCAGGGAGGGCCTGAACTGGGGAAAGGATGGGGCCAAGGTGGCTAGAAACCACTGTGGGGCCTCCTGAAGGGAAGGGTCTTGACTGGGTCCCAAGTCAGTGGTACAGAGAACTGGTCTCCCCAGTTCTTCGCCTCCCTACCATCTGCTTTCTCCTTCCCCTTTGCAATCTTTTCAAGACCCTTTTAGAAACTATCTTCCCAACCCACTCTTCGCCCCACCCCAAACACGCCCTCTCCGAGCACATTCCACACACCCAGTCCAATGGCTTCTGGCTTTGTCTTCAGCCCCTGCTTGCAGGCAGTGGGCCTAGAGAAGCCAGACCTTCCCCTCCCCTGAACACCCCAACTTCTAATGAGCAAAGAGGTCCCACACTCAAGGAAGCCTGGGTTAGGATTTTGTAAGCTAGAGAGGCTCAGCCAAACTGGACTCCTGACCTCTCTCCTTTGATTTCATGGTTTTTCCTTCCTTTCTGTCTCTGGACCTACGTCCAGTGATTAACTAGAAAGTATAACAAAACAGAGCCACCCCCGCTCCAACTAAATGCATATTAGGAAAAGAACACAAGTCTACTGTTGATTCAAACACTCTGGAGATTCCCATTCTCTTTAGTCACTTCTCACAAGCCCACACACATATACACCTTCCCTCACACGTGCATGTCACGTGTACACACATGCACACACATGCACACACATGCAACCATCTCATTTCACTGATACCTTCATGCACCAAGGAAGGCTAACATAAAGCTCATTTATTTCCTTTAATTTGGACTTTCTGGTCTAGAGGAAATCCAACTGTAGCTATCAGAAGATCTGCGCTCTCATTTCTGTATTTTATAAAGCCAAGTTAGGCTTAGAGAACTTGATTTTGAAGCCACCACATCGTTACCAATTGATCCGCAAATACTGGGTTGGCCAGAAAGTTTGTTCGAGTTTTCCCATAGGATGCTATGGAAAAACCTGAATGAACGTTTTAGCCAACCCCATAGGAATACAGTCTGGGTCTGTAATTTGCTGTTCAAGATAAAGACATTTCCCCAAACTTACGCAGCACTAGCAAGTCTCAGCTCTCTCTTCAGACACCTTTAAATCTGTTACCAGCCACTCAGGGTCTTACTGGGATTAAAGACAAGTAAGCTTTCCCTCAGTGCCCCAATCAGCCCGGGGTATCAGGTGGTAATCTCCAGGCCTAGATGGTAAAAGAGAACTGCACATGGCACTTTTCACAGGTGTGCTCAAGGCATGCATCCACAGGGAGACCGGTCAAGGGCAAAGTGGCTCTGGTCCCTGACTTAAGTGGCAGTGATTCTGAAGAGTGGACTTGAGCAGTCTCAGCTACCAGCCTGTGTTCCTGTTTTCTTCTTCTGCAGTAAAAACTGCACACTTCCACCCAGTGGAGGGGACAGGTTGAGCGGTAAGGCTGGGGGCTCTGAGGCTTTTATAGAGGCAGAGTGCTACAACAGCTTCAGTAGGCACAGCCCTTGAGGCAGGACACAGGAGACGGAGGGCAGCTTTCCAGCCTCCTTGGGGATGAGCTGGACTTGGAGGCAGGAGGTGGGCGGGGCATCCACACGAGGAATCAGACCTCGGTGATCTGGGGCAGTAGAGAGGCTGTCCTCCCCCACTGGCTTCCTTGGCAGGGCCTGAACGGTAGTGAAGTCCCATCTCCTTCTGGAGCAACACCTGATGCCGCCCAGAGAAAGCACTTGGATCCAATTCATCTGAAAGCTTATCCCCTCAATGCGACACATTCCAATCCACACTCACACTGAAAGGACTATCCTGTCCTCTAGCCTGGAGCGTTTAAACTCTACAGTCTCTGCAAAGGCTTAGAGAAGTTATTCCTCCCAGGAAGGTCGGGGAGAGTTAGGCAACTGGTAGCATCCTGGCAACTAAACGCAAAGTACCTGAGAAGGTACCGATGGCTTCCCTTCATAGTCGGGACCACAGAAGTAGGAAGAGCAAGGGGGTTATAAGGGCCTCACATGACAGACAGGGCGCCTGATGATGCAGCAGGTGGGAGCAGGTCCTTCAGAAGCCTGGTGGTCAAGAGGGACCCTCTCCCAAAGCCATGGGCTCTGAAAGTCCCCTCCACACCCAGTAGTCACAAACAGGAGGGAGGAGTTGATTCAGTTTTGGCAATCCAGTCTCTTGCCCACTTGACCCTCCAAAGCAAAATCCTAATGCTTTCCTGAAACTAGACGTTTCCAGGCCCCTGGACATCCTCAGCAGTGCCCATCTGCCCGCCGGCCGGCAGCCCTGCCCAGGCAGCAGCTAGACTCGGCCCTCCACACCTCGGCCTCCGCCTCCTCGCCCCTGGGCACCTATACGGCGATTTCATCCTCCAGGCTGTCGCCCAGCTCCTGCCTCTGCAGGACATTCAGCAGGCGGGGCAGCTCCTCCTGGGACCACGAGTCCCGCTCCTCGCTCTCGTCCGTGTTGGACTCGTACTCCGAGGCGATGCCCGACTCTCGGAACTTGATGAGCTCCAGGCTGCCGAGGAGCGGCTGGCCCTGAGCAGGGGGCGGGGTGTCCTCGGGCGGGAGAAAGCGGAAGCACTCCAGCTTCACCAAGCAGTCGCGCCTACCTAAGGGGCTGCCCGCTGGGTGGGCGAAGTCGGCCAAGCCCGCGCCCAGGGGCGGCGAGTGTAGGTCCTCCGGCTTCGGGGTCGTGGGGTCGCAGAGCACGGGCAGGGCTCCAGAGCGGAAGGTGATCTCCAACAAGCTGTCCTGCGAGCCCACTGGAGGAGGAGACAACGGGAGGAGGGGTGGCATTAGCGAGGCGGTGGTCTGAAAGCCACGCTTGGCCCACCCAGGCCCCTGGCCAACGTGGGGGGAGTGGGGTAAGGGTGGGCTTCTCAGTTCTTCCTTTCGCTTGACTCAGAATGGACATGCCAGGCTAGGGGGAGGAGCCAGTGGAGGAGGCAAATCAGGGCCATGACCGCGGTGGGCCCGCAACACCAGCGGAAGCTTTGAATGGGGAACGTGGCAGGGAAAAGGTACAAATTGAAGAGCTATGTTAAAATTATGTAGAAATGTTTAGCGCAAACTTGTAAACTGGCATTAATACAACAGGGCTTTGATAAAGAAAAATCCAGAAGGGCTTTCAGAGTGGTAAAGTACAGTGGTTCCCTATCCATACCTTTGGGCCACTTTAAAAACAGAGTTCTGAGCTCTGCCCAAGACCTACCAATGCAGAATCTCTTGGGTTGGATCTGGGAGAATCCATTTTTTAAGAAGCTCACAGGGTAGTTTGGGAGAACTACTGGTATACTTCAGAAAGCATTTGTTTTATGATCAGACCCGAGCTTGAACCTTGCCTCCACACTATGCTAGTCCTGAAACCTGGAGCTAGTTATTTAATCTCTGAGTCTGTTTCTTCATCTGTAACATGGGCACAAAATCATCTGCCACGGTAGGGATTAAATGAGGTCGTGCATATGGTCAGTCGATACTGGTTCACACTCAGCGTGCACTTAGAGCAGCAGACAGCCTACGGACACGTTCAGCGTGTCATAGAGACACACTCTTCCAGCACTTCCCAGGGCAGCCTGGCATCCGCTGGGAGTAGACACAGCCATCTCAGGCTGGGAGCCAAGCAACCTCTGCCACTAGCCAGCAGAGTGTGCTGGCCACAAGGTTTCCTCTGCTTGTGGAGACCCACAGAGAGGCAGACTGCTACCAGCCTTTTCTGTGCTACTGCGTTATGCAGGGGGAGTGAACAACTGGACAGTTTGACGTCTCCTGCAGAGCTCTCAGAGAGCATGACTCACAATAGATGCTCAGTGTATTTCGATTGGAAAAGCTCTCTGAGAAGGAACCAGGCAGCCTCAGGATGTGCAGAGCCTGCAGGCCCGTCAAGGAGAGGCTGGGTGAACGTATGGCGGTGACCCCTGGGCACTTTCAAGGTCAAATCTGGGCGCTGGGCTAGAAGGCAGGCAGGACCCTCTCTGGCCCTGCCACTTTATAATTCCGTTAAGTGTGTGGGTGGAACAGACAGAGCTGCTTATATTTTCTGCTCGGATACCAGGGCAGGCCAGGGGTCCAACAGAGTACCACCACAAGCTTTAGGGAAGAGAAAACGGTTCCAGAGCCTCCACAGGGAGGTGAGGCCAGGCAGGGCCTTCGCTTACTGGCATTCTGTCCTGACAACTTCAGCTCCAACTCCTGCACCTGCTTGACCAGCAGAGAGATGTGTTGGAGCATGTCCTTGTTCTGCAACAGGAGCTGGTGCACACGAGCCTGGGCCTCCAGCCGCGCTGCGGCCTCAGCAGCCAGCTGGTCCTTCAGCAAGTGAACCTGCGGAGACGGGGGAGGCAGAGAAGACAGCGAGGAGACAGGGCGGAGAGAAGAGAAGGATGTGAATGTAAACACGAGTCGCTGGTGGAGGGCCAGGGCCAGACATGCCTTCCAGGTTCAATTCAAGACGGAGAAGCCCTTTCCCGGCAAAATGGGCACCTGGGCTTGCAATGCAGAGGAGGAGCTGAAAGAAGCTGGGCCACTGGATCCGCATCGCGAGTGGGGGCCGTGACGTGTCATTCAGGTACCACTTAGAGTCCCACACGGAGAGCAAGAGGTAGGAACGAGTTGTGTCCCAGCCCCAGCCCCGTCACAACTGCTCTGACGGCTAACGCACTACCGCTGTGCTGAGGCAGGTACCTTTTCCTCATCTTGTCTTTTAAAAACAAAGCCAAAAAACTGATATGCTGACCCAGTAGCTAGGAACAGTGTCACAGCAGACCCCCATAACCATCTTCCTTCTCCCCTTCCTCACACCCAAACAGCATGAGAGACAGGAAGCCAGGCGCATGCCCTAAGTCGGTGAGGTGACTGTAATGAAGACTGTTTCTCCACGCCTGTGGTGGGTGTCAGCTTCCTCCCCGACCTTCCCGTTCCCTTTTTATTTCCGGGGGCCTCTGGGAGCATGCCTCATGCCTGGCAGAGATCGAGCAGCTGCTGGCTGACTAACCACAGGGCCTCGTCCAGCAGGCCCGCCCGGCAGGGGGCTGCCAGCCTGCGGTGACGGCTTCCAGAGCCACCCTCTCTGGGGAGAGGGGGAACCGAGGGGGACCCTCGCCCTCTCACCGTCCCCCGAGAGAGCACCCGGCAACGGCACCCTGCGTGCTCGGGGCCCGGGGGGCCTCTCTGCGCCCGCCGTGCAGTCTGGGCGTGGGGACACAACCCGGCGGGGGGCGGGGAGACGTGGGGATTCTCTCACGACTCTGGCTTGACGACACGAAGTCACACAACAGTGACAACAATGTGTGGCTTCTGTGCTAAGAAGTGGATAAAAGGGCCTCTGGGAGGTTTCTGAAGGTCCCTGAATAAGGGGAGCTCATGAATTTGGTGGTTAAGACCAAAGCAGCCCGTACGAAAGAGGGTTTTCTTGAACCAAAAACATGGTGTGGATAAAGACACGGAGTCCGGAGGACCGGGGTGGGACAGGTAGAGCCAGGAGCAGAGGAGAGAGAGGGAACGAGCTGGGAGAGTCGATTCTCTGACTCAGACAACAGATGTTCTGGGTTTCTGAAGAGCCCTCTGCTCCAAAGAGATTCACATTCTGTCAGGGATTAAAAGGTCAGGCTCACCCCATGGTCTGGCCGAGCTTGGCCCAGAGTCCTGCTAGCGCAGTGCCTGCCCTCCCGGCAGCCAGCACTCAGAGATCACACTTTTGGATGCAGTGGCTGCTTCCTTCCCCCAGCTCCTCACCCCGGCCCAGATTTGAGGACCTGACCTTGCAGTTGTTGGCTCTGCTTCTAAGTGGAGCCACTAATGAGATTAGTTGCCACTTTCCATTAGCGGCTCCTGAGGTTAGGCCTATCGTTCCCCAGGGGGAGGATGCCTAAGGAATCTAAAGTGAATCTGTCCTTCACCAGGCGCTGCTAAGGACAAGACTGATCTTCCAGTCCAGACATCAGCCTCAAATAAGCTAAGGAGAGATCTAGAGTGGGGCAAGAACAGGGAAAGCAGTGGCAATAATATTTTAATCTAGTATCAGATGGTAGTGGCTATTGAGCCCCTGTCTTCCTTGCAAAAATGAGGCATGGAGACAGTTCACCAAAACAGTCCCCCAAATCCTGCTGGCTCTGAGAATCAGGACAATTGCTGTGGGAACCTCACCCTTACAAGTGCCCCCAGAGGAATCCATAACCTTCCATCTGCCAGTAAATGTAATTTATTCCAACTAAGAGCATCACTGAAAGGAATGTACTGGGCAGACAGAATTGCTAATTATCCATTTTCTATTTTCTTCAGAGCAAAACAGAAACACAAGGCATAAACGTGGAGCAAAACTTTCAGTGCACATAAATAGAAAAAGTGGAGAATCCCACCTACCACCAACTGACATCTACAGAGGGCCCTGCACACCAAGGCTGCAGACTCAGGTGCCCAAAGCCCACGTCTGAACCTGCCCACTGAAGAGGCCATTTGAGAGCACTGGACCAGGAGCTGAGTGCTGGAATCTGTTGGTTACTCCCTACTGAACTGTAGGTAATACCCTTCTACCTGCACCTCACTTTCTCCATTCTTCAACTGAGAGAGTTGGCCAGAGGTTTGGACAGTTTATGAGTCCATATCAGGTGAATGGAATAGTACCAGCGGCCATTGGTTAAAGGTTCAGTGAAGAACACTCCTAGATTTCCTCTGGGAAGTCAGAGAATTAGGACTAGGGACAAAAGAGGAATTCCCTCCTGCAGAAGCCAGGCGGGTTAAAAAAAACACCAAAATCTGGAAGTTTCTTTTGCACGTAACCATTCTAGCAGGGGAGTTACCATTAGTACATAAAAGACGACCCTTGAATCAAATCTCTAATCTCACATCCACAGGCACTCAGTACTATGAGACAAAGATGTGTTTGAGTGTTCCTTGTATCAGCCTAAATAAGAACTTTAGCTTTGCAAACGCAGACTTATAACATTTCAGGTGTTTTCAAACCCTGGGAATGCGAAAGCACACGCTGCTGCTGCTGCCTAAAGCCAGCGCTAAGGAGCCCTTCTGTTCCGGCAGCCGCCTAAACGGGCAGCAGGCATAAGGCTCAGGCCTCCCACTGCAGCAGTCTGCACCCCAGGAGTACGAGACCCAGGCCAAGCTGGGACAAAACAGCCCGCACTTCCTCTAAATTTGAGGCAATTTAACAGTCCTTGTGTTTCGCATATGTGGGTCTAGCCACGAAGCACTGAAGTGAAGCTGCATTATTTTCAGCCTTGGCTTGGGCAGTCAGCTACAGCTGTGTGCTCGCTTCCCCCACTGTACAACAGTAGATACCACCTCCCCTTCCCTAGCAGATGGGACTTATTTGTATTCAGCACGCTCTTCTTTTAAAACCTCAAACACCTTTTGCCAAGGCAGGCTATGTTAATTTCTGAAAAGGTAGCAGATAGTTTTGCTTTTCCGGAGCCATGCGGTCTTTGGCAATAACTATTCTGGGCTTCCCAGGAGGCACTAGTGGTAAAGAATCTGCCTGCCAAGGGATCGATCCCTTAGAGGAGGGCATGGCAACCCACTCCAGCATTCTTGCCTGGAGAATCCCATGGACAGAGGAGCCTGGTGGGCTACGGTCCACAGGGTCGCAAAGAGTCAGACCAGACTGAGACGACTTAGCACGCAGGCATTCTGGTCACAGACTAGATCGGGGGGAAGGCCACGCCTGGAGTTGGTGTCCAGTTCTGCGTTTTGGCCATAGCAGTACAAGTTCAAGCCTGTGCCGTCCAGATCTGCACCCCTTCCCCAGACTCAGACAGCCGCCCACAACCCACCCAGCAGCACCAGACCACTGCCCACTGGCCCTCCAGCCTACTTGCCTGGACTCCAGCTCCTCCGCGAGAAGTGGGGGCAGGGCCAGGCTGAAGTTAGGGAGCAGCAGGCACATGGAAATGGCAGTGGAGAGAACCAGAGCAGTTTGCCCCCCAACACACTGGACACATAAGCGAAGGCAGGAGGCTCTGGCTCTGCATGCACGAGGCAGGGGCCTGGGCAGCGCACCCAGGGTGCTGGGGACTGGAGAAGCCACGAGGACAGAGGCTACATCTAGGACCGGGGGTGGGGGGGCTGCGGAGGGTTTTCAGCGCTGTTCCTCTAACCACGGCATACACAATTGCAAAGCATTAAGTAACCGATCGCTTGTTTCAGAACAAGTGGCAGCAGGTAGAGAAGTCTTTCAATAGCAATATTGAGCTGCAGGACAACATTTTCCCCAGGAACCAGGCTAGGAGTTGGCAAACTGTGAAGGGACCTGGCCTACTTAACTGCTGCCAGTCTGCCACAGTGCCCGGATCAATTCTGGAGCTGCGTGGGCCCAGCCCGTGGCCATGCGGGTGCCAGCTACAACCCAGCTTTGGTTCAAGGCTCGATTATACTTTGATTCGCACCCTTGAACTGCTTGTCCATCTAAAAGCAGGAAGCTAGTGCAGCCACGCAAGCCTCATGCTGGGGTCAGGAAAGTGGTCCGAAGGGCTTGGGGTTCACCATTTATGCACTGAGATCTAGTCTAGAAATGCTTAAGAGTCAGCTGAGCAACACCTTTGCCCACGTACCTTGAAGGCCAAGGCAGGGCCTTTCTAGACCAACTCGGAACCAATTTAGGGAGAGGCTGAGAGAGGTCTTGAGGTCTGAGACCAAATCAGAACAGTGTGAAGGAGATCTAAGCCTGGTCCCAATGATAACAGTAGAACCAGATGGGTCTTTGAGAATAAATATGGAGGGTGCATGAATCATGCAACAAGGGACCCCAAGAGTACATCTGTTTGCAAGAAACTGTCTTTATCTTTAGCTCTTCTCAGGAGTCACACAGGATACTCCCAGAACAAAGGAAAATGTGTTCCCACCTGAAAGCTGAGGTCACAGGACTACCCACTGGAATTCCAGGGACTGCTGGTAGTTTTACAAAGACAGGCAGAAACCTTGCGGTTTGATGGCAATAGCGTCTGACAGCACAAGTAAAAGCTGACCTCATGCTGGACACTGTGCAGAGAAACCAAGTAAGCCAGATTTGATATATTTTAAAAACAGGAAAGATGTTAAGAAGACCTATTTATTAATCCACCTATATATATATCTTATATCATTGTTTACACCCAAAGATTTGGATACTAATAAAAAGCCCTTGAATCAAATGCTACGAAGAGAGTAAGAGAGGAAGATGCAGAGAAACCTGTAACTGAAGGCTGGTTTAGGACCAAATCGGTCTGGAGGACAAGAGGAGCTGAAAGCCAGCTGCGAGGTGCGACATGTCAGCTGTATTCCCAGGCAGCAAAGGAAGAAGCAAACTGAACAGACAGACTGCCTGTGAGGACGGAGGAGGGGGGAAGACAACTTCTGCCAAGCGGCTCTGTGAGGACCTCAAGGGACTGTCTGACCTGAGCACTTTCGAAGGCTATGGCCCTACCCAAAGCCGTTTTATGCATGGGAGATACTGATGCACTCCGGTGGCCTTTGAGTCATGTCACAGACTGCACAGATTCAACCAGGGCACTGCCAGCTACAATCAACAGATTCCAAGTGTGGAAGTGGCCAAACTGAGACAGGCTCATCAAGTGAACTGCAGGCACCGCACTCTTCCCATCTCCTGGCTTCCCTCTCTTCTACAACACACACAGTTAAAACAGGGCCAGGAGAGGGATGTCTCCGTGAGACAGATGCTTGATTCTGGGCCAGAGAACCACTCGGAGGGTTTCATCCTGACTGGGAGAGACCTATGATAAGCACAGGTCCCGTGGCTTTGCAGACTGTGCATCCTTCGACTACCACAACACTCTTCTTCTTGTGCAGATTATACGTTTTCAAATAGTTTTTCTTCAATCTTTAGCAGTGACTTCAAATTCAAATGCCTCTCTGATAATATTCATCATGAATATGCATCAAGCTCATTCTTAGATAAACACTAATTACTTGGTAATGGATATGCTGAAAGAGAAAAGTATCGTGGTTGGAGGATGGATGTGGGTTGCCAAATGGCCCTGTGCTGGAGCATTCCGGCTTTGTGCTCCTGTCAGCCATCACACCCGCCACATCATTAATTCAGGAGATGAATACAATTATTTGACAAAAGGCAGTGATTTTTTCCCCCAAATATCAGAAGCCATTAATGACATCCCTCCTCTTTGTTGTTGTTTTGGGAATACCTGCAGATCCTGCCAGTATCAGCACATATCCTTTTTGTTCATGGTCAATATTTTTTAAAAGGCTCAAATCACTTGGGAGCAGAGCCCCGCTGATTTTATTCTCTTGAAACCCAGTTGCAAAAGGCACCCATGAGGCTGGGCCTCAGGCCCAGGTCAGTGTGGGACTGCTGTAAGAAGGTCTTTTCAAGACCCAAGTCATTGCATCATTTTGGTTAGGCTGCCGGATGCTTCCTCAAGGGGTTTGTGTTGGGAAGGACAGCTCTACCCGTGTGATTCACTCCACCTGGCGGTTGTGAGAAGGGTAGGAGGAGAAATGACAAGGATCAATAACAGCTCTCTAGAGAAGTCTTCTTATTTTCATTCCAGAATGCAGAAGACCCCAGAGGCCAGCCTGACTGAGCAGATGTAGAATGCCAATGCCAAGAGCTGCCTTCCTAGATCTCTCCCCAACTCTCCAAATCCTGAAGTCCCCACTCCTCACTGTTTTCATCTACCCATTAGGTCCTGACCCTATCTGACTCTTACCTTAGGAGTCAGCTTTCGAATGGTACCAATGATGTGTCCACCATCCCCTGATTGCCCGGAGAGAAGATGCAGCTCAGACTCACAAGTTCCAAGAAGATGTGGATGACAATGCCCTCCACAGAAAGCAAGCAGAAGGGATCCCTGCTAAAAGCAGCAAGGAAATCAGCTCGCCCCTCCTTTATAAAGCAACAGCAGCCCAATGAGTCCTCGGGGCTCAAACAGTGCTTGATTCCTGAAATCTAAGCCAGATCTTCCCATTATGGCTCAAATACCTAAGTTCCTGTAAGGAAATGTACAAGAGAAGGAGAAGAAGGTAGCAGAGGATGAACTGGTTAGAAAGCATCACTGACTCAATGGACATGATTGTGAGCAAATTCAGGGAGATAGTGGAGGACAGAAGAGCCCAGCGTGCTATAGTCCACAGGGTTGCAAAGAGTTGGACAGGACTTAGCAAATGAATGACAAGTTCCTGGAAGTTAAATCTTATTATAATCAAGGCCAGTATGGTATCAAGTCCTGCCTGGAGACATCTTTACATAAACAGAGAAATCCTGCCTGGAATGAGTAGGATGGAATGACTAAAGGAGGCATGGAAACCTCTATGAACAAGGTTTGCAGGATGGTAGATTCTGCAGGGGCATTTGGCACAAATCCATATTTTAATTCTTTTAAGAGTGGTATCACAAAGTCACACCTATCCTCATACCTGTCCTGACTCCAGAAGCATACCTTCTCACCCACACACCAGGAAAAGAAGGCAGGAAAGGAAGGGTGAAATTATGTTCCTTAGTATTTTCAAGTCATGACCCAACAACATCCAGCCAAGCCAGCCAAGCCCAACTCAGAGTGGGGGATACATGGGAAACCAAAACGTTTCTTCCCATTTCATCTGCATCCCCCCTTCCTCCTCTCCCCACCTCCCCCTTCCCCAACAAGCAATGATCCAACAGCATGAGCCATCTCTTAGAGCTCCCTAGGCTTTAAAACCTGCCCTGTGCCCCTCGCTAGGGGAGGTGCGTCAAGCCCATGAGAGTGGAGCCTGCGAAGAAGGGAGGAGGCTGAGGAGAACCTGGGCCACAGCCACTTGCGTCTGCTGCTGCTGCTGCTGGAGGAGCTGCTGCAGGAGCTGCATCTGGTGGTGGGTGGACAGCGGCGTGCCCGCGCCCAGGCCCGGGGGCTTCGCGGAAGAGGAGGGAAGGAGCATCCTGGGCGAGGCTGTCAGCATGGGCTCCTGGGGGTGGGGCGAGGCCTGGAGGAGAGAAGACCGGGTGTGAGCCTGGGCATGTGCCTCCTTTAGACAATTTGTCTTCAATATACACAGTATGTCTCATACGAGGCTGGGGTGAAATGGCCCACTTATAACCAAGAGCTGGAAATGCTGCGTCTTGAGTGGAAATGTGGACAGGCCCCCCCCGCCCCCACCCCCCACTACCCCCAGAGGAGATGATCTGACGGCCTGTGCTGGGACCACAGTCAGAAAACCCTATTTGTATAGCTGAGTTCCTGATGTGATACGATGGGAGTCTAGGCAGCTGATCCTGTTCCATTTCTTGCCCATGGCTTCCAACTCTACCACATTGTTGAGTTACCTGAGGTTCTGGTCTTGGATCTGTTTCTATGAAAGATAGCTACCTACACCCTGCTATGAGGCAGCGCCCACGTTCACTCTGCTGTGTCCTCAGGGCGCTCTCCTCCCGGGCCTGCAGGGTCTCCTGAGCTGACCACTGGAGGAAGAGGCCATGAGGGCGGTGCGCCAACCCGGCACTGCCTCCTCACAGTGGGAGCTCCAGAGAAGAAAGTCTGGACACGCACAGAACGTGGGCCGGGGAGATCCTCTCTCCGAAAGGGGAATGCAGCTTCCATTCCCTTCCCTCCCGTCTCCGTCCTGATGGCTGGACAGTGTCACTGGACGGCCTCTGGGAGCCAGAGGACCCCACTGCAGCAGCTCTGCCGCTGGCCCTCCTTTAGGTATGCAAGAGGAAGTGCTGGTGACGGAGGGCTTCTGCCACGTGCAGGGTACAAACTGGGCACCACAGAAGATAGCAGGCAGACAAGACGGAACAATACCGCCTTCAAACTTGACAGGTTTCCCCTTCCAATGAACTAGCCTAATGACCTCCTCTTGGGAAAAGCTGTTACATGATGAGTAAAGAGAGGCACTCATGATGCAGGGAATTGGCAGGGAGTCTAAGGCAAGGGCAATCTGTCAGAATTTTCCTTCTGTGAGTGTGTGTCAGCCGCTGTGCGTGTTGGGGGGGGCGTGTGTGTGTGTGTGGTAGGGGCTGTGTGTGTGGGGGGGCAGGGGCCGTGTGTGGGGGTGGGGGCCAGAGGTGCTGGTTTTGTCTTCAGGTTGGAAGTTCTCAGTTTCACCTGGATCATATCAGAAACCCCTTGAGGGCATCCGTCATCTCACCCATAAAAACAGGAGGTTGAAATGGAGGATGCCTGAGGGGGTCTTGCAGTTTCCAGCCTCCAATGGGCCAATTTCCAGCCTCCCCAGGAGCATCAAAGGCACACGATCCTAGCCACAGGCAGAGACAGCCCAAACTCACCCTGCTCCTTCAGCTAAGCCCCAGGGGATCACACTGTGTTGTGCAAGGATTAGCCACAGGCACAGGTATTGTGCCCCGATGAGGTACCTTAAAGCTGGGGCTTCCAATGAGAAGAAGGGATCTGAGGACTGATGGACCTTGGAGGGTAACGCATGTCAGGACTGAGCTCTGTGAAATCCCGACATGCAGCAGCATCTAGCATCAGTTCACCGGGACCGAACCTCTAGATTCAGTCTGGAAGGAAGCAACACATGCTCTGGAGCCACCCCGGGGCTGGCAGAGGCCAAGAGGTGACCGACGGGGGCTGAGGCCGTGACACAGGCCGCTCCGGGAGGTGACATGCACACAGATGTGCTGATCACCTGGCTGGGCTGCCTCCTGCCTACCTTGGGGTCTGTGTGGGCGCCTCCTTCCTTCCCTACAGCATCAAGGTCGGTCACGCCTCGGCTGAACTCCAGGGCGTCGTTCCCTGGGAGTGGGACCTCGACCGCATCGATGTCCGTCTCCTCTGCGGTGGCCGTGGAGGTCCTCTCGGCCCCGGTGAGCTGGCGGCCTACAGGGACAAGAGAGAGCGTGGGGAGGGGAAGAGCCACACCAAGCACAACATCCTCCTTCCCAACACTTCGGTTTTCAATCATGTCACGCTTCGGGACACCACTGGCTTAGTAACATTTTCATATATCCTTTCAACTCAAGTCCATTAAATCCAATCCAATAAGATGTTCTGATTTTAGTATCTTCTCATAGTTCAGAAACAAAGACAACATTTCCTCAAGACTGGACATGACTGCTTTGTCAGGCTGGCGTGATGTTTTCACTGACAGGGTGTGGGGAACCTGCAAGAAAGGGATGACAGCCACCTCGACCTCACTCAAACTCAGGAGTGGAAACAGACTAGGGGAAAAAGTACTCTTTCAGTCGTGTCTGATTCTTTGCAACCCCTCGGACTGTAGCCCACCAGATTCCTCTGTCCATGGGATTTCCCACACAAGAATACTGGAGTGGGTTGCCACTTTCTACTCCAGGGGATCTTCCTGATCCAGAGATTGAACTGGTGTCTCTTGCATTGGCAAGCAGATTCTTTACCACTGAGCCACCAGGGAAGCCCCCAAAGGTTTTAGCAGGAAAAATATTACATAAATTGGTGTATTTTTCAGTTCAGTCACTCAGTCGTATCCAACTCTTTGCGACCCCATGGACTGCAGCACACCAGGCTTCCCTGTCCATCACCAACTCCCAGAGCTTACTCAAACTTATGTCCATCGAGTCGGTGATGCCATCCAACAATCTCATCTTCTGTCATCTCCTTCTCCTCCTACCTTCAATCTTTCCCACCATCAGGGTCTTTTACAGTGAGTCAGTTCTTTGCATCAGGTCGCCAGAGTAATGGAGTTTCAGCTTCAGGATGAGTCCTTCCAATGAATATTCAGGACTGATTTCCTTTAGGATGGACTGGTTGGATCTTCTTGCAGTCCAAGGGACTCTCAAGAGTCTTCTCCAAAACCATAGTTTATAAGCATCAATTCTTCGGAGCTCAGTTTCCTTTATAGTCCAACTCTCACATCCATACCTGACTACTGGAAAAACCATAGCTTTGACTAGACAGACCTTTGTTGGCAGAGTAATGTCTCTGCTTTTAAATATGCTGTCTAGGTTGATCATAGCTTTTCTTTCAAGGAGCATGCATCTTTTAATTTCATGGCTGCAATCACCATCTGCAGTGATTTTGGAGCTCCCCAAAATTAAGTCTATCACTGTCTCCCCATCTATTTGCCATGAAGTGACTGGACCGGATGCCATGATCTTAGTTTTCTGAATGTTGAGCTTTAAGCCAACTTTTTCCACTCTCCTCTTTCACTTTCATCAAGAGGCTCTTTAGTTCCTCTTCACTTTCTGCCATAATGGTGGTGTCATCTGCATATCTGAGGTTATTGATATTTATCCCGGCAATCTTGATTCCAGCTTGTGCTTCATCCAGCCTGGCATTCTGCATATAAGTTAAATAAGCAGGATGACAATATGCAACCTTGACATACTCCTTTCCCAGTTTGGAACCAGTCTTGCTCCATGTCCAGTTCTAACTGTTGCTTCTTGACTTGCATATAGGTTTGTCAAGAGGCAGGTCAGGTGGTCTGGTATTCCCATCTCTTGAAGAATTTTCCACATTTATTGTGATCCACACAGCCAAAGGCTTTAGCATAGTCAATCAAGCAGAAGTGGATGTTTTTCTGGAACTCACTTGCTTTTTCGATGATCCAATGGATGTTAGCAATTTGATCTCTGGTTCCTCTGCCTTTTCTAAATCCAGCCTGAATATCTGGAAGTTCTTGGTTCATGTACTGTTAAAGCCTGGCTTGGAGAATTATGAGCATTACTTTGCTAGTATGTGAGATGAGTGCAATTGTGTGGTAGTCTGAACATTCTTTGGCACTGCCTTTCTTTGGGATTGGAATGAAAACTGACCTTTTCCAGTCCTGTGGCCACTGCTGAGTTTTCTAAATTTGCTGGCACATTGAGTGCAGCACTTTCACAGCATCTTCTTTTAGGATTTGATATAGCTCAGCTGGAATTCCATCACCTCCATTAGCTTTGTTCATAGTGATGCTTCCTAAGGCCCATGTGACTTCACATTCCAGGATGCCTGGCTCCATGTGAGTGATCACACCATTGTGGTTATCTGGGTCATTAATATCCTTCTTTGTACAGTTCTTCTGTGTGTTCTTGCCACTTTTTCTTAGTTTCTTCTGCTTCTGTTAGGTCCATACCATTTCTGTTTTTATTGTGCTCATCTTTGCATGAAAAATTCCCTTGGTATCTCTAATTTTCTTGAAGAAATCTGTAGTCCTTCCCATTCTACTGTTTTTCTCTATTTCTTTGTCTTGATCACTGAGGAAGGCTTTCTTATCTCTCCTTGCTTTTCTTTGGAACTCTGCATTCAGATGGGTATATCTTTTATTTTCTCCTTTGCCTTTAACTCTCTTTTCTCAGCTATTTGTAAGGCCTCCTCAGCAACAATTTTGCCCTTTTGCATTTCTTTTTCTTGGCGATGGGCTTGATCCCTGTCTCCTGTACAATGTCACGAACCTCCGTCCACAGTTCACCAGGCACTCTATCAGATCTAATCCCTTGAATCTATTTCTCACTTCCACTGTATAATTGTAAGGAATTTGATTTATGTCAAATCTGAATGGTTTGGTGGTTTTCCCTACTTTCTTCAATTTAAGTCTGAATTTGGCAATAAGGAGTTCATGATCTGAGCCACAGTCAGCTCCAGGTCTTGTTTTTGCTGACTGTATAGAGCTTCTCCATCTTTGGCTGCAAAGAATATAATCAGTCTGATTTCAGTATTGACCATCTGGTGATGTCCATGTGTAGGGTCTTCTCTTGTGTTGTTGGAAGAGGGTGTTTGCTATGACCAGTGTGTTCTCTTGGCAAAACTCTGTTAGCCTCTGTCCTGCTTCATTCTGTACTCCAAGGCCAAATTTGCCTGTTGTCCAGGTATTTCTTGACTTCCTACTTTGGCATTCCAGTCCCCTATAATAAAAAGGACATCTTTTTTGGGTGTTAGTTTTAGAAGGTCTTGTAGGTCTTCATAGAACCATTCAACTCCAGCTCCTTCAGCATTACTTGTTGGGGCATAGGCTTGGATTACCGTGATGCTGAATGGTTTGCCTTGGAAATGAATAGAGATCATTTTGTCATTTTTGAGATTGCACCCAAGTACTGCATTTCATACTCTTTTGTTGACTATGATGGCTACTCCATTTCTTCTAAGGGATTCTTGCCCACAGTAGTAGATATAATAATGGTCGTCCAAGTTAAATTCACCCATTCCAGTCCATTTTAGTTTGCTGATTCCTAAAATGTCGATGTTCACTCTTGCCATCTCCTGTTCTACCACTTCCAATTTACCTTGATTCATGGACCTAACATTCCATGTTCCTATGCAATATTGCTCTTTATAGCATCGGACTTTACTTCCATCACCAGTCACATCTACAACTGGGTGTTGTTTTTGCTTTGGCTCCATCTCTTCATTCTTTCTGGAGTTATTTCTCCACTGATCTCCAGTAGCATATTGGGCACCTACCCACCTGGGGAGTTCATCTTTCAGTGCCCTATCTTTTCACCTTTTCATACTGTTCATGGGGTTCTCAAGGAAAGAATACTAAAGTGGTTTGCCATTCCCTTCTCCAGGGGACCACGTTTTGTCAGAACTCTCCACCATGACCCATCTGTCTTGGATGGCCCTACACGGCATGGCTCATAGTTTGAGTTAGTCAAGGCTGTGATCCATGTGGTCAGTTTGGTTTGTTTTCTATGATTGTGGTTTTTATTCTGTCTGCCCTCTGATGGAGAAGGATAAGAGGCTATGAAAGCTTCCTGATGGGAGAGACTGACTGAGGGGGAAATTGGGTCCTGTTCTGATGGGCAGGGCCATGCTCAGTAAATCTTTAATCCAATTTTCTGTTGATGGGCGGGGCTGTGTTCCCTCCCTGTTGTTTGACCTGAGGCCAAACTATGGTGGAGGTAATGAAGATAATGCTGACCTCCTTCAAAAGGTCCCATGCATGGGCTGCTACACTCAGTGCCTCTGACCTTGCAGCAGGCCACGGCCAACCCATGCCTCTGCCGGAGACTCCTGGACACTCAGGGCAAGTGTGGGTCAGTCTCTTGTGGGATCACTGCTCCTTTCTCCTGGGTCCTGGTGTGCACAAGGTTTTGTTTGTGCCCTCCAAGAGTTTGTTTCCCAGTCCTGCATAAGTTATGGTGGATCTATGGTGGGGTTAATGGCGACCTCCTCCAAAAGGGCTTATGCCATACCCAGGTCTGCTGCGCCCAGAGCCCCTGCCCCTGCAGTAGGCCACTGCTGACCCATATCTCCACAGGAGACACTCAAACACAGTTCTGGCTCAGTCTCTGTGGGGTCTCTGGGTCCTGGTGTGCACAAGGTTTGCTTGAGCCCTCCGAGTGTCTCTGACGGGTATGGGGTTTGATTTAAACATGATTTTGCCCCTCCAACTATCTTGCTGGGGCTTCTCCTTTGCCCTTGGACGTGGCGTATCTTTTTTTGGTGGGATCCAACATTCTCCTGTCGAATGTTGTTCAGCAGCAAGCTGTAATTTTGGAGTTTTTGCAGGAGAAGATGAGTGCACGTCCTTCTACTCTGTCATCTTGTCATTCTTGGTGTATTTTTAGAAAATTTTATTTTGTATCAAAGCATGCATGCATACTAAGTTGCTTCTATGGTGTTGACTCTGTGTGACCCCACGGGCTGAAGCCCACCAGGCTTCTCTGTCCATGGAATTCTCCAGGCACGAACACTGGAGTGGTTAGCCATTTCCTTTTCCAGGGCATCTTCCAGACCCCGGGATTGAACCCAGGTTTCCTGCATTGCAGGTACATTCTTTACCATTTGAATAACCTTGAATGGGGCATCCAAGAGAGGTAGGGGTTTCCTCCACCACACCCCTATCAGGCTGTCAGGAAAGGGTTAAGTCACCTCACTCCCTGGGCCCCAGTTCCTTCAACTCTACATGGTGGCTGAGTTAG